ATTAAAAAAAGAAGGTGGATAGAACACATGGAAACAAACTTACATTCATGCACTTGCGTGTTTCGAGCATAACTTGCTTCATCTAAAAATCACTGCCGCACCAATTAATTAATCTGAAAAGTCAATGCGAAAAGTTAGTTCTAAGAAAAGATCCTGCAGCATTTGGTTGCACATTTGATATTTTGCATCTAATTATAGCCTTGACATTCAAGCATCTTTGAGTGTGACTTGCAGTTTTAAGAGTGTATGAGTGTCACAAAGAAGCTTAGAAGAACCATTACTTCCTTGGTGAAGAACATTTTTCCACTATAAAGAGCCTTTTCATGCAATGGAAAGCTTCCATGGATGTTAAAGGCTCTTCATGGAACCATCAATGCCTATAAAGAGCTTGTTTAGCTTGCTTCACGTTAAAAAATAAGGTGGATGAACAACACAGCAACTCTTGAAAACAAACTTGTGTTCTTGCACTTGCATGTTTTGGGCATAAATTGCTTCATACATTCGCTAAAAATCAATGCCACAGCAATTACTTGATTTGAAAAGTCAATGCAAAAAGTTGAGAGAAAATCCTGCAGCATTTGGTTGCACAATATTTAGCACACATGATGAATAAATATTTTTAAGAGTGCAACAACCATTTCAAACTTTTTCCACTATAAAGAGCCTTTTGTGCAATGCAAACTTCCAAAGGTTCCTCACAGAACCACAGACGCCAATAAAGAACCTTTTTTGAGAGTCTATATGGGTTTTGGGGCCACTGTATTTACCGCACATACGAACAGCTACATGTATCAGATTCAGACTGACCCAAATCCATTTAACAGTGCTGGACACTGGGCCATAAAACACAGCAACACTCTCAGGTGCAGTAACTAAACTGAGGGTTATGCCATGCCATAGGGCACATCCGAAATATTCCTACACACTCCATATATTTCCTCTGAACGTTCAGGTGCAGTAAAGTGAAAGCGCGACCTGTCCTGAATGTTGAAGACTGCATGGAAGAACATCATCACATGCCATCTGTACTTCTGCTGAAATCAATAAACTGATGTTAACAGACAAAAACAATCACAGCTACACCTAAAACGATCACGAAAACATGTTGTATGATGCAGACAGGTGTCTCAACATGTGAAGGAACTCCATGTATTGACAGCTCGCTGCCACACACACACACACACACACACACACACACACACACACACACACACACACACGCCCAGGACTGTGATGGATGTGATGTGTGGAGGAAGTCCACCCTTCCCTGGCCGAACCCCATTCGTGAGGCATTTCTGCTGCATCAGGATGTTTTAACACAACATCTGCAGATGAAGAATAACACACACACACACACACACACCTGACATCTGATGAGGATCACATATAAACACACACACCCCACCACAGACCACGTCAGGACAGCAGACCTGAGTACCGCAGTCTACACACACACACACACACACACCTGACATCTGATGAGGATCACATATAAACACACACACCCCACCACAGACCACGTCAGGACAGCAGACCTGAGTACCGCAGTCTACACACACACACACACACACACTCTTACACTCATGTACACACGCGCACACAGAGCCCTGTCCGTGAAATGACGTCAGTCGCTCACCGGCGCTCTTGTCTTTGCTCTCCATCTCCCGTCGCGCTGCTCTCGGTCACGGATGATGAAGATGCCGATGAAGAAGACACGTTGTTCGCTGCGTCGGTTCCTGGCTCGCGCTGGGCGCGACTGTCACGTGAGAGCAGCTGTCGATCACTTCACGCGCCGTCCGGTGCTGAGGCGACGGCGGAATCACGGGCGTGGTGGTGTGTGCTGTAGATGCTGCAGCGCGCGAGTGTGTGTCTGACCGGGGCTCGTTCCGCGCGCCGTTACCGGGAGCTACCGCAGCTCCGCCGCTATCAGACACACGGGCGTGACTTCGGCGCAGGTGTCATGTGACGCCCGATTGTGATCCTCTGATCAACCTCACCAAATGATACAAACGATATCAGATTGTATTATCACGGTATAGGCTACTCCCTATATTAATATGAATTAATATAGAGCAATTAAAAATATTTTAAGAGATCCTTTGCCCCACTGTTGACATTAGTGGTTTTATTATGGCTGTAGTTATTTTTTATTTTTCAGTAAGAATGGATAATAAAGATTAAAATTCAAATGATAATAAAAATATAACTATATGTAGTATCAAATACATTATTATTATTATTATTATTATATACTGCAAAAGTATGCATGTAGCCTATATCTATTTACTTTTACATTTATGTTTACTATATAAAAAAAGTATTATAAAATATATATCCTAATAAATATATAATTATTTGCATAGCACCAATATAAAAAAATAAGTAAATAAAGCTTAATAAAAATACTAATAAGTAAATACGAAAATTAAATTAGTAAATACGAAATAAAATGTACACGCGATATAATAAAGAGTCCATAAAAACAGCCTACAGGGTTAAAACAGTTTTCTCAGATGTTGGTAAATGCAAATCTGTAACATTTTAAAGTTATTTAATTATTATTATTATTTAAGCGCCAAATAATATAATTATTATTTAATTTAAAGTTATTTAATTGTTATTTTTAAAAACTTTTAAAAAAAATCATTTGATTATAATTGATGATTAATTGATAATTGAAGCCTATGCCATTTAATCTGATTTGCAAATACAACCGGTTCAAAATAGCAAAATATAATGGGATTTATTTATTTATTTTGTTATTATGTTATTTTATTTATTAGAATTTTTAAACTTTTTTATTTTACAGTAAAATGAGAGTAACACTGTGGTAAATTGGTTTTAGTTACTACTGCCAACAAAAATAGAAATTATTGGCATTAATGGTTCCATGAAGAACATACTGCAAGACTAGAAATTAAGAAAATTAATTTCCATTCTTATAGTAGCCTATTTTGGCTAAATGCAAATGTGGATGGAATAGCCTATATAGATTCAAACTAAATTCATAATGATTTAATAATGTTTATTTTTTTAATAACATTTTTCTTCAGATGTGAATGTATTTTCTTGGATTGAAAATATATGGATTTACAAAAACATATTTTTAAAATTATACAAAAATGCCCCAAAATATATCTTAAAACATCTTTTGAAATATATTTGAAAATACTTTTTTTTCCATATGGATGCAAAAGCATGGCATATTCAAGTTACAAATGACTGCACTGCTCTTATGTTAAAAATCTTTGTGTCAACAAATCCTCTCTCTCTCTCTCTCTCTCACACACACTCACACTGACACACACACACACACACACACACCGACACTGAAGGGTGGGTAAGTCGCAGGTGGACAGACAGGTGCTGAGATGGCAAGAAACAAAAAAAACCTGGCATGGCCCACGCAAGCTCACATATAAAACTGCGCTGGATTATTTTGGTATTCACCTGCTTAAGCAAAACTGAATAAGCAGGTGTGTCACATCTAAATGTGTGCAAAAGATTTTGAAACTCCACCTTCCTCAGGTCAGCAAGATATAACAGCTCTCAGCATTCACACACACACACACACACAGCTTACCATCATCCTGAGCTGTACACAAAGAGGCATTCTATTGTACTGATAAATTTCTCAGCATTTACCTTTCTAACACACATCTGTAATTCTCTGTCGCAGCACTTTAGCTGAGCTGAGCTCCTGGAGGAAAAACCCCATCCAAATGTTTCTTCTACAGCGTCAGTGCTTTTAATACAGTAGTAAAAGAGCATTTAGCTGACAGTGTGTGGGTTATGATCCCTGACGACGCTCTCTAACTACACGAGTTGCTGGAGAAGCAATATAGCACTATATTTTGATTCAGTAGGAATCAAACACTGTGGTTGCTCATATATAGCCAACTGTTCAAATAACAGGTTAAATGCTTCAAATGGTTGCATGCAACACTGATGTCATTCTTGCAATCCAATCTTGTGTATAAATATAGCAGCTTCTGGCAGACTGATTACATAATGAGTCAAAGAAAGGGACAAAATCAGTTGATATTGCTGTCTATTAATCTCACAAACGATTTTTTTTGTGAGAAATTAATACTTTTATTCAGCATGGATGCATTAAAGAAATGAAAAGTGGCAGTAAAGACATTTGTAATGCCACAAAATATTTCTATTTCAAATAAATGCTGTTCTTTTGAACTTTCTATTCATCAAAGAATCCTGAAAAATAAAATGCATCCATTTCCACAAAAATAAACTGCAATATTATTTGATGTATGATCTTTAATTTAGGCTTATTAAATTCACTGTATTACAGTAATGAGAACGCAATGAGAATTATTATTATTATTTTTTAACTCAAAAGCAATTTAGGGTTAAAATGTGTTTAAATATCAAAATATTCAGCAGAACAACTGTTTTCAACATTGATAATAATCAGAAATGTTTCTCGAGCAGCAAATCAGCATATTAGAATGATTTCTGAAGATCATGTGACTCTGAAGACTGGAGTAATGATGCAGAAATAAATTACATTTTAATAGATATTCACATAGAAATTAGCTATTTTGAATTGTAATAATATTTCACAATATTGCTGTATTTACAGTTTTTGATCAAATAAATGCAGCCTTGCTGAACAGAAAAGACTTCTTCCAAAAACTCTTTTTCAGAGTTTTACTTCTGAATCTCAATAGGATCTGCATTTTTATACTAAAAAATAAATAAACACATTTTAGGTCATTTTGGAGTTGCGAAACAGAATAATCAAAGTCTTACACTTTTGCATTTCTGTACAGCTTTATTTACCAAACACAAGTTTAAAATGCAATGCAACACTGATCCAGAGCAGATATGTTATTTTGCTGAGGTGTCCATAAGCCCGCCGGCATGTTAGATATTTATCAAGCATTAGAATAACACATACACACAATTCTCGTGGACATTAGCCTAATGACGACAGTTAAAATAAATCAACACGTTCTGTTTAGTTCTGATATGTCCTGATTCAGATATAAAGAGAAACACACGGTGGGGCTGTAAAAGAGTCTTTAGGATCCACTTAATCAGAATAAAAACACCCCATTGGTTGATTTGTGTGATAAGGCATTACGATTGGTCCCTGTAGAGCTTGAAGATTCACGTTTGGTCTGTTCTGATCCATCCCTCCTACCAATCACATGCAAAGATCACATGATTGGCTGAGGCTGATTGGTCTAACTGGGAGAAGTGGGCAGATTAATTACAGCAGTTACAGAGCACATCACATGATCAAAATACTCAAATTATTACAAAAACGAATTATCCAATGCACCT